AGTAGGACCACTCAGCGACGTCATGCGTTTCGATTGCCGTACAAGCGAAACTCATTATGCCAAACCCATTTGTTCATTTTACGGTCGTGGTCTTTGAATTTTTTATAGTCCTGCTTCAGTTTTTTTAAACTTTTCACAGCTTGTTTTGGAGTGGGATGAAACGCTGTTTCCAGTGGTGTCTGCTAGGCTAATGCTGCTAGGCTAATGCATCTGGGCTAATACTACTAAATGCCGGTTGTTTTGCTGCTTTCTGCTGGCGTCAAAACCTACGCTAGCTTTAGCCAATCAGCGCCGGGTAAACCTCAAGTCCCACCAGGGCCTAACGGAGTACCTAGCATGGAGGAGGGACTCCCGTTGAGTCCCGTAAAAGTTCCTGTAAACAGCTCTGTGGGGGATGTTCATGCAGGGGCTGGCCCTGGAAAATGATCCCGAAGTTCCTGCGGTGGAAACATGGCTTATGGTTAACATACAGTACAGACTCAAAGTTTAGACACACCTTCTCATTCAAAGAGTTCATGTTCATGATTATGAAAATTGTAGATACACACTGAAGGCAATAAAACTATTGTAATAGTTCTGTGTTGTCTGTTTACTACCACAGGGGGGCGCTCTGGATATGGTAGAGAGTTTTACCGGGGTGGGGGTTTTTCCCCGCGAGTTGACACGACGGCAGTCTGTGCTGTAAGTTTCTGAGTTAAGCGTGAGCTGTGGCTAACAGCAGCTTCTTCTGTCAGCTTGTGAATAAAAGCTTCTTGAAGAGCAGTGTTCCAGCATTTCTTATCTGGGAGTATTAGACTAAGAATTAACTCATGTAGAATTATGTTTGGACTAAAACCTTTTGCTCTGATTATTGCTACGTACACTCTTCCAACAGACTTGAAGGAGTTCCCAGAGATGCTTGGCACTTGTTGGCTGTTTTGCCTTCACTCTGTGGTCCAGCTCACCCCAAAACCATCTCGATTGGGTTCAGGTCCGGTGACTGTGGAGGCCGGGTCATCTGGCCCACCACCCCACCACTCTCCTTATTGGTCAAAAATCCCTTACACAGCCTGGATTTGAATCTACAGTCAATAGTCATGAAAAGAAAGGAAACTCATTGAATGACAAAGTGTGTCCAAACTTTTGTTCTGAACTGCATATAGAACTCAAATCAGCATAAGATATTGTGCTTGAGCTCAATTTCAGATGCCAAAATATAAGACCCCTTCCCAACACATCCAGCCACCGCATACATTTCAACGCTGCTATGACCTTATAGTTGTGCGTAATCCAACCTGTTTTCCAACAGTCCTCCCCTCACATGTACCTCCTCTGTCTGTTACTGTCTGTTATGATTTTTCTTTTTCTCAACAGCGAGATTACAGTTTAATCGCAGCACAGTGCACAACATGATGAAACCCCTGCTGTTAATACATGATAGCTGCCCTCATCTGACTGTAACAATCAGGGATCTGTCTGACAGAAAACGTGAATTCAAGTCATAGAATTCCAAATTGAAAACTTGCTGTTCATTGTTTGCTTTCAAATCAATCCAAAGATACCTATGCAAGTCCTATGTTGAAATCTATGGATGAAAATTAAAGTATAAATATTTTGAGCAGATGATGAATAAAGTAATCCGATATTGATCATCTGCAGCAGTGTAGTAGGCATTCTAAAATGTTGTTATGTAAAATAAAGGAAAATAACTAAACTAAGAATAAAGTAAAATCAGTCAGCAGCAGTTGTTTCAATGGGCATTACAGTTGATTTAAAAAGGGGATTTAACAAAAAAAGATATCAATTGGAATTACACACTATACAAAAAGTCACTTTGTATTGTAGTTTTAGAATTATTTTTGCAATATTGTAGTTAGTGTGGTTTCTTTTTACAGTTACTGTTCTAGGAGAGGCTCATACCTCTGCAGGTCACTGTCTTAAGTACCTTACACTGACCTTATGGGCTGCACCCCCACCCCTGGGGAGCTGCTTCAGTCCTGCACCGCACCTGTCCTCGTTCTACAACCTGTGTCCTGCTCTTCGCGAGCTTGTTCCTCGTTCTGTAGCTTGAGTCCTGGATACAGCCCCCCTGGATCTCCCCAAGGTTTCTCACTTTCTCCCACTGGGTTTTAGGGTTTTTCCTTGCCGATGCAGGAGGGTCTGTTAGACTGTTAGTGGGTCTAAGAAGAAGGACACTGGTGATGATCCAGGACACTGTAACATTCTACAACATTTATGGACATTGATCATCAACTCCCCCTGTTCTGTGTTTTTTGTGTTTGATTCTCTGATCTGTTTTGGCGTTGGCTAACTATTGTGTTTTAGGGCTATACAAAAATACATTTAATTTAAATGAACAATTGCGCCAATGGATCTTGTACTCTTCCAAAAAATACAATTCCAAAAAGGCCAAAGTAGTGAGAAATTATTTAGTTAGCAATTATATATTTAAAACGTATGCATTTAATGCAACATGAAATAATAAACAAAGATACAAAGTAAATAGAAATACACAGTTTTGAAAAAAAATGTTGGGCTCCAACTCTTCTCACTCTCACTAAACACACGAATGCACACTCAGACCTCCTATACCTCTAACCCACTACTCTCTCTGTGCTGGGGCATCACTCTATTACACAGGCTGGAGGAGGTAGTAGAAGCAGTAAGGAGACCAACTCCTTTTCATTCTTTTCTAATCACACAGCACCCTCCTCTGGGTGAATTGTGCCATGACACAGATGTATTTATTTATTAGTTTTAAAACACACAAAGTGTGTGCTGAAGAACCAAGAGCTGTATTGATGTCGATAGACTGAGCATGAGATTGCTTCACTTCAGACTTATATCAGCTGTAACAGCACTTTCTTTCTGAAAAAGTAAACATAATGCCTGGAAGTTCCTGTCTTCACTGTACCTTGACATTATTGCTCAATTCCCGGGTCATTGATAAAGAAAAGTCTTGATTTCCATGATGCATTTATGGTATTTGGATGAAGGGATGTATCTAGTGTGCATGTTTTTTACTGGTAGGGGAAACCCAGAGGAAACCTACACAGGCACTGGGAGAACATATAAACTTCACTCAGAAAGACCCTATTCCAACCGGGAATCAAACCCAGGACCATCTTGCTGAGAGGCGAGAGTGCTATCCACTCAACCACCGTGCCGCCCTAAGTTGCAAAAAACAGTAGGAATCAAGAGCACACAAAATAAGTTAAAGGCGTTTCTGCAGGGTTTTTTGTTTCAGTTTGAATGTTTAGCACCGCCCCCCAACTCGCTCACAGGCTTCTCATTTCCCCTACGCTCTCATCCCACGAAGCCATCTAGTTTTATTTGCGATCAGATACGTGTGCAAACATTGGCATTAGCACAACTTCTTGTAAACTGTACAATGTAAAGGAAATGAGAAGAAAGTAACATGAAAAATCTAGCATGAACTTTGCATCAACGTCTGAATGCAAAAAAAAAGGTTCTGTGTATCTGAGTCCCACCAGTAAATGCACAGCGTAAAACATGATGTTGCACTTTGTCTCTGTTCCCACACGGCGCTCTTCTGCTGAGTCATGCTGAGTGGAAACAGCTGACAGACGCAGATAAACTGGAGCTGAAGATGAGAGCCGAAATATTTCAAGTTTAAAGGTATATAGGAGGATTTTCTTCTCCCGGTGGATGAGTTATTGGTCCTCCTAATTGTCAGTCATTCTGGTAGTTTGTTTTAGTAGGTGTTCTCGCTGGAGAGGGCGGTTCTTTCCTAAAATTTGGGAACATCCTCCTATATACCTTTAAATCTATGCATCAAGCGCTTCTGACACAGCTCATTCTTTTTTTTTTAGACTCACTCATTCACTCCCATCGTGATTTGTGTAGGATTTGATGCATGTTTAGGCTGTCATAAGCACAAATAGATTTATCCATCTCATTATTTTGTATGCACTTACATTTTGAAACAACCCAGACTGTATAATACAAAGGGAATAATATTTGTACATCCTTTTGTATCTAATTAAAAGCAGTTACGGCAAGCATTCATGTTGGTTCCAGAATATTCTCAGGTGCCTCCAGAGGTTTTTCTAAAGAGTCCCATTTATATTATGCACATAAAGGCATGTCCTTTGAGGTTCCATGTTATTAAATATAGTATAGACATTGGAAAATGTTCATAACATAAATATATAAAATAACCATAACACACACATTGTTTTGAAGTTAATATTAAAAACAGAAGTATTATTCGTCAAATACCTGGAGAAGCACAAGTATGATACATGACCACATGTGGTCTAAAGGCTGCTATGTGTTGAGTGGAACATACTTATTTACTGTAATTAGATTGCTTTTAATATTACTAAGTGGTGCTTGTAATTATAGGAACAACAACAAAGTAAAGTAAAGTAAAACTCTAACTCCGCTTTAACATGGAGCATGCTGAATGTGAAAAACCTGACAGAGAGATGCTGCAGCCTCATTGCAGAGAGATTTCACACAGTTAGTTATCAGGTCGAGTTTTTACCATGATTCAAACAATTCAACTAAACATTAAAAAGTAATGTTACTTTCCTCAGTACAAGAGTAAGTAACTTACTCAACAAAATGCTCAAAGAACCGTGGTTGACATAAACAGTGCAAAATGGTCAACTATTTAAGACACATTTCTACACTGACAGTGCACTTTGTATTTCAAATTCAAACAAGTGACTTGAGGGACCCTGCAGAATCCCTGAGACATTCTGTGCAGATAGGACCCCCGCCCTGCACTGGGGCCGTCACGATAACAGCATGAGGGGTGTTCCTCCAAAACCAAAACAACAAAGCTGCTAACCTCCGCTTTTATACTCATCCAGAGACTATGGGCTCTTTCATTCTAATGAAATATTTAATTCAAAGACTAGTATGTTTACAAGACTGAGAACCCCTTTGGACTGCTTTTTAACTTTGGGGTGGACTGTGAGCATTTTGGATCAACAATGCTTTCGGACAAGGAAAGGAAACTGATTGTAGAGATATGTAATCGAGTGTCACCCATGGCTTCAACAATTGGCGCGGATGCTCTGAACAGGTACGATATTAGGATTTTCTTCATGTTTGTAAAATATAATTGTGGATTATGTAAAAATGTAAAGAAAAAAAAAATACAAACGGCCTGATATTGTGTTTCTTGATAACTGTACTGACTATGGGCTACATGTAACAGAGTATTGTCCTCGTCACAGGTTGTTCATAGTCTATCCAGGAGCAAAGACATACTTCTCCCACCTGGACATCTCTCCTCGCTCCGCCCAACTGCGTTCCCATGGCGAGAAGATTGTCCTAGCGATCGCAGGAGCGGCCCAGGATATTAGTCAGCTGATGGTGACTCTGGCTCCTCTGCAAACCCTCCATGCCTACCAGCTCAGGATCGACCCCAGCAAGTTCAAGGTACAGCTGCTCCATGCAGCTCCTTACAAAAATGTGTACATTACATACAAATGTAAATAAAGAATGTGTCAATTGACTATCAATCATCAATCTATATTTGTAAAGCATATTTGAAATAGCCAAGCTACAGAGGGGTGAAAAACACATGAAAATACAGAGACAAACTAAAGAAGAACCCAAAAAGCAGGACTGCAAATGAAGCAGAGACACAGGATGGTGGGGCAGGCAATCAACACAGGTAGAGAAGAAGAAACTTAAAGAACACAGGACAATCAATATTACAAAATACAAAAAAATGATCAAAAATGTAATGACGTCACATTTCTTTATCAGCACATATCAACTGTCTCATTATTGTCTCATAAATGTGTTCAGACTTAAGAAAAATATGGTAGCTTTGTCAATTAAATAATGTCAATCTCAAGTAATGATCTGGAAAAACATTTCAACATTTTCCTTTTAAGATAAGATAAGATAAGATAAACCTTCAACATTAAAGAACTGCTTCCTCTGGTATTGAAATAGAATGCTATGACATGAACATTCCTCACAGTAACTCTCTTCTTCCAGCTCTTCTCTCACTGTCTGCTCATCACTCTGGCCTGTTTCCTGCAGGATGACTTCACAGAGGTGGCACATGCTGCGATGGACAAATACCTCTCTGCTTTCACTGCAGTGCTGGCAGAGAAGTACAGATAAGCACTGACCACAGCGGCCCAAGGACACTATTTGAACTGTGTGAATACTATGTGTGACTGTGAAAGCATGCGTATCTGTGTTCATGTCGAAAGTGCTTAATAAAGTATTTTGTTGACTGAAGTAAATGTGTGTTTATCGATTAAATTTAATTTATGATTTTACTTTTATTAATGTGAAGCTTTGATACAAACTTTAATACTGTATTAACCATTCATATAATGACAATGTCCAATAATTTATCACACAAGCATGTTTTGTTATATAACTGTCATTATGTGAATGTGTGATGATATCACTGGGGCAAATATAATTATGGTATATTGATATTCGGGAACTTCAGGACACTTGTTGAAAGGTGCAGCGTCCTCTTTTTTCTTGGCTTAATCTAACCCACGGGTCATTTGCGGTCTGTGAAAAGACATTTTGTGGCCCCCTTGTGGGCATTAACGGATAATGTCAGCCCCCCCTGAGAGTTTTGGTCCAGTTTGGTTCCAATCCAAGCAGCTGGACTCATTGTGTTCATTGAAATATATAAAACATCATATCGATGGCCGCAATACAAAACCTCCTATCTGAAAAAAAATCACTTTTTTCAGGAAACAAAAAAAAAACGTTTAATTTGATTTTTTTATGTGTTTTGTTGAAAATGTTCAAGTATATTCTAATGTTTTAAGACTATAGTTCTATATTATGTGAAAAAATACATACATACGTATTTTTGCACACCACAGTGGAGATAGGTGTTTTTTCCCTTATTTTTCTGCACTTTTGTGCTCATAGGAGTTTTTGACTCAAGTGTAAATAGGGAGAAAATAGCAAAACTATGTTGTAAATTAGAAAAGGACAGTCAAATTAGGAAGGTTATTCTAATGGAAATACTGTATACACACACAACACATTTTGAATTACAGAGTGATCAACAAAACTGTGCATAGCAAAAAAATAAGGCAATCAACTGTAAAACTTAAATTGTAAAATCTTATATGACAATCTGCATTAAGGCCACATTAAAATGAACAAATTGACAGTGTCAAAGTCTGAACATATATACATAAAAAAAGAACTCTCTGAAAAACTCAAGTCTAGAACATACAGTGGGGCAAAAAAGTATTTAGTCAAGATTCAAGATTCAAGATTAATTTATTATGTCCCGCAGGAAATTTTTCTTGGACTCACAGCTGCTACATTGAAAATACAGACAAAAAAAGACAGACATAAAACACAACACAGTAACACCGACATAAACCATCACCGCTCTGCTCGATGGCCTGCATTCAGGAGGTTCACAGATATGGGTAGGAATGAGTTCTTATACCGGTTTAGATATCGTTTCTTATTTCTAGTGGGTACTCTATAGCGGCGGCCTGATGGGAGGAGCTCATATTGAGAGTGGAGGACATGGGAGGGGTCTGAGGTGATTTTCCTGGCCTGTCTAATTACAGTCTCCTCAAATATCTGTTGCAGAGATGGATGCTCCCTAACTCCCATGACTTTAAAGGCTGTGCGCACTAATCTGTAAAGTTCTGCTTTTGTTTTAACAGTCAAATTCCCAAACCAGTCAGCACCAGTTGTGCGAGTTCTCCCACTTAAAAAGACGAGGGAGTCTTGAAATTTCCATCATTGGTAAACCTCAACGATGACACACAGAATGAAAAAAAGAAATCCTGAAAATCACATTGTCTTTTCTTTAAAGAATTTACTTGCAGATGATGGTGGAAAATTGGTATTCAGTCAATAACAAAAGTTCATCTCAATACTTTGTTATTGACCCTTTGTTGGCAATAACAGAGCTCAGAGGTTTTCTGTAAGTCTTCACAAGGTTTTCACTGTGTATTTTGGCCCATTCCTCCTGCAGATTACATGGTTTTCCCTGCTACTGATATTTTGGCCCATTCCTCCATTCAGATCTCCTCTAGAGCAATGATGTTTTGGGTCTGTTGTTTGACAACACACACTTTGAACTCCCTCGAAAGATGTTCTATGGGACTGAGATCTGGAGACTGAGGCCACTCCCGGACCTTGAAATGCTTCTTCCGAAGCCACTCCTTCGATGCTGTGTGTTTGGATCATTGTCATGCTGAAAGACCCAAGTGTTTTCATTTTCAATGTGCTGATGGAAGGAGGTTTTCATTCCAAATCTCACAATACATGGCCCCAATCATTCTTTTCTTTACACGGATCAGTCATCTTGGTCCCTTTTTCATGTGTGATGTTTCCACCACCTATTTTTCACAATAGGTATGGTGTTCTTTTGGATGCAACTGTCCTCCAAACACAACATTTTGAGTTTTTACCAAAAAGTTATATTTTGGTTTCATCTGACCATGTGACATTTTCCCAATCCTCTTCTGGATCATCCACATGCTCTCTATCAAACTTCAAACGGGCATTGTCATGTACTGGTTTAGGCAGACTTCTGGCACTGAAGGGAGTCCCTGGGGCATAGTGTGTTACTGATGGTACCTTTGTTACTGATGGAATTTTTGTTACTGATGGTACTTTTGTTACTTTGGTCCCAGCTCTCTACAGGTCCTTCGCTAGGCCCCCGTCTGGTTCTGGGATCTCACTGTTCTGGACCATTTTGCCCCCATGGGGTGAGATCGTGGAGCCCCAGATCGAGGGAGATTATCAGTGTCTTCTACTGTATGTCTTCCATTTTCTAATAATTGCTCCCACAGTTGATTTCTTCACACCAAGCTGCTTACCTATTGCATAGTCAGTCTTCCCAGCCTGGTGCAGGTCTACAGTGTTGTTTGCGGTTGTGGACAGGTGTCTTTTAAAGTTCAAACAGGAGCCATCAATACAGGGAATGAGTGTAGGACAAAGGAGCCTCTTAAAGAAGGAGTTACATGTCTGTGAGTGTCATTTACAGTGTGATTTTCTGGATTGTCTGTGATAGTTGAGGTTTACCTTCGATGGGAGTTAAAGGCTTTTTAAGTGGGAGAACTTGCACAACTGGTGGATGACTAAATTCTTCTACTTTCCCACTGTATGTCTTACCCCAACAATGTATGGTACAAAAGGAGATTCTGATTTGCACAGATGAATATCAATCAGTCCTCCATGAAGAAAATGCTTTTGCTTTTGAGTTTGGAGAAAAAGCAGGAAAGACAGCCCTGAAACTCAAACAACGAGAGAACAAACAATAAATTTAATATAGTCCTAATGACATGTTAATAAGTGACCCAAAAGAGTTGAAGCAAACATTTGCCAAAATTTACAGTCATTTATATTGATCAGAATTATGCTGCCTAAATCTGCCTACTAACACAAACTCATAACGATCTTCTGGAAAGCCCAAAATCATGAATTTAAAACATCAGTAAAAACTCTACCAAATGGGAAACTCCAGGTGACAATGTTTTTAAGACGTTAGATGTTTTTAAGACGTTAGATGTTTTTAAGACGTCCTTGCACCAAACTCGACTGTATTGTTTAATGATATAAGACAAAAACAGTACATGCCCTTAACCATGCAACAGGCCTCGATCTCCCTTATTCCAAAACCTGGAAAAGGCCTGACACTAATGACACTAAATTACAATTATTTTAGATTCTGTACAATATTCAGTGGTGTTCACTTTCTTTCCTTTCCTTTCCTTTCCTTTCTTTAGTCACTCTATTGTATCATAAAACGTTTCACAGCAGTGCGCCAACTCATTCGCATGCATGATTCCATTATTACAAATAGTAACAAAAACTCTAATAACAGGGTGCAATGTGCATAATTACTGTTAAAACAATCAACAGTCACAATTTGGCAGACATTTTAACGTGTTTACATGCCACATATATCCCAAAAATAAGCATAGTCAGCTGCTGATGTAGATAGAATGTTTTGTGCTGAAGAAATTACAAGCAATTCAGATAGGAGTTTTTTTTCAAGTGACCTAAATGTCTTAAAAAAAATGCAAAATGATTTTGCAAAGAGCCTGAGAATGTGGAGTCAACCTTCTTCTTTCCATTTATTGTGAAAACCCAAAATCGAGAAAATTGCAGATAGGAGGTTTTGTTTTGCGGCCATCGATATGTACATCATATTCAAAAAGTTTTAACCACAGTGAGCGGCAACCCAATGACGTATCTATGGAAACAAGCAGACAGCAGACCCCATCAGAGCAGTTGCACAGTGCACTTATGGACAAAATTATGTACATATAAAAGTGAAAATGTAGCTCAACAAATTGAAAACATGAATAAATGAATTCCAACGCAGACATGAAAAATGGTCAAATGAGGCTCTGCAAACAGCTCTGCCTGTCCCTGTCTAACTGGAACTGTTATGCTGAACCTGGAAACCGCAGTATTTCAGCTTGAATGAGCAAAATAACAATATAAATTATAATAAAATTTGAATGACCAGTCAAAATATATAAGTGCTTTTAGAAATTACATTCTTTCAATGGGTTCGTGCACTAGAATTCAATTTCAGTTGAAGGACAGGTGCCAATACAAGTCTATGGGGAAGAAGACATTCTTAGGGGAAATGTAAAAAAACAAAAAATGTGTTATTGTTTTCCCAGATTATATTAGTTCTAATGTCCTATAGTCTGCTGGCCATGCGTTAATCAAAGCCAGAAGAACATATAATATTCATTGTATTGTCATCACTTCTTTGATATGTAACAAAGAAGATGTTTTTGTTTTATTTGGACGAACCTAGGACTTACCTCTAGCTGCCTTGTGCATGACCTGTTTCAAACTGCCGGCATTTAGCTCTTTACAATGTTGTGGTGTTTACATGAACAACCTCTAATTGTATTTGGAATAAAATAAAACTAATGAAAGAAAAGTAAAACAAACCGCCCGTTATTTGTGATGTGTAGCCTTGAAAGTTGTATAGCTTCTAATCAGCTCATATACGCTGCTTGGAAGTTGGTGCTGCAAAGATACTGTATAGTTTAGAATAGGTGTGGTCCACAGATAATTCTAATCTGTCAGCTGTGGCCAGTGGTTTAACTTGACAACCAGTTTAATGAAACCCAAATACAGTTCTTTTCCTCCTAAGAGAAGAGTGCAGATAAAAAGCACAGTTTTAGGTGATGTCCAAACATATAAGTAAATATGCTTATAATTCATGGATTTTTACACACATTTTTAAAAGAATGTGTGTAGTTTTCAATAAGGGGAAGGAAGGAGAATATTTAGATGGTCAACATAAAAAAAAAAAAAAGCTATTAAATTGCTTCAACTCGCTTCTTCTTTCAGAGTTTGGTTCTATCATGCATGTATTTTTGGCCTCAGCTTTATTGGAAAGAAGAGTATCCTTCACTCTGTCAATTAGCTCTTAGTGTGTAAAAATAACAACTTCTTTTTATGAAAAACAAGTTAGTACCCCAGCTTTAAACTGTCCAATCAATTTCACAACCAGTTCGTCTGCATGTAATGAAACACAACATCATACAGTTCTTTTGTAAGACTTTTTGTTTATTTTTTTTCATCTCATCAGAACAGAGACAGTGACCGGTCCTGAGCCGTGCCCCTGGTCGCTACAGAGACAGAACCTAGTGGTACTGTCTACCCAGAGCGGACACCACCACACACAGAAACTTCTGGAAGGCAGCCTGGATTTCCGCAGTGAAGGCTGAGCCCATCTTTGCAGCGATCACAACGGTCAAGCAGTCAGCCAGCAGCTGGGAACAAAAACACACTGTTAAAACAAGTAACTCAAACAAACAACGCTTATACAGTCAATTATATTTCCTCGATTTGTGTCACAAAGTAAACGTGAAATGTATTCCTGCTTAGAAATGTCAGGATACCATATTTTAGCATGACAAAAATGTAGGCTGAAAGGGGATGTCTGCATGTTTAATTTCCATTTTAAAAGTACATACATAATACAACATATTTTTTGACCAGATGAAGCCAAGGGGCTTCATAATGTCAAGGGGAAAGACTTAAGCACTGCCAGTAAGATATGCTCCAGTAAAATAGTTAGACCAATGTCGAGGGGCCTCAGCTGTCAAGAATTTGATCAGGAACCTGTGTTGGCGGGTCTCATAATTTAAAAAGTAACTGCCCCTTTAACAGCTATGTAGAATTGTTAAGTTAAGAAAAAGCACACGTATGTTCGTTTTCATACCTTGAAGTTGTCTGGATCCACGTGCAGCTTCTCGGAGTGCAGCACGCTCAGCTCGGCGTAGGTGGCCTTGATGTCGTCCATGTTCTTGACGGCGCGGTCCAGACCATGCAGCACCTTGGTCCCGTGCGCCGCAATGAGTGGATTGTTTTTGATGGCTGTAGCATTGTAAAGGTTACCATAGCCACCAAAGTACCGCTGGGTCCATGGGTACACAATCAGACACCTTGATTTACAAGAAGAGAACAACAGTTGGATTTTTCTCCGTAGTAGTATTGATAGTATTAGTAGTAGTAGTAGAAGGAGTAGTAGTAATACCTGCACAGAGCCTTGGCGCCAATATCATCATAGTCCAAAGAGGAAAAGATGCTGGTGATGATGGTGCGCTCGGATTCACTCCACTCAACCATGGTGTCTCTGCTTCGTCAGTGTTCAAGCTTGAAAACAAAAGGCAAATTGTTTTGTGGAGATCCACTGTCCTCCTCTATTTAAAGGTCCCAGCGCAGCCCCTCCCTCTGAAGGCAGCCCCTGATTAGGCGCTGATACAAGATAAAGAAGTAGAGGCCAGCCCCAGAAACTACAGCGCTCACAGCAACATCTGGACTGAGGAGTCCAGATGTCAGACCATATTTGTTGTATTTTTCATTAGAAACAGCTCTTCATCAGATTCAATTAAAGATTTTTTTTATTTGTACCTTGTAGGCAAATTTGTCATGCCGTTTGAGAGAGCTGGTCTCATACACACATTCATACATGTTTCATAGATGAAAAAACATCAGAAAAAACTACAATAAAACAAATCTTGGAGACAAAAAGAAAATTTCAAAAGTGTCATAGTCACCCATTTCTAAATCATAATATATACACATTTTAATACTGAATATTTTATGGACAAAAGGATGACAATTCAAAGGAAACTGGGTTTCTAAGAAGACAAGAAAAAGGCGTGTTTTTATGGAATAGTTTTTACTTTTTTTAATTGATAGCTGTGTGCAACTATTTAAACATGTCTATTGTGTAAGTTTCTCATGTGTAATCTGGGGATAATAGTACTGTAATCATATCATGACTATTTGTTAGTAGTTCCAAAAAAGGTAACAATATCAATGGACTTTCTTTGGTGACACAATACTAAAGCTTAAATAAGATCAAAGAACCTTTATTCATGTTGCAACGCACATACAGGACAGTCAAAGAGCACACAACAAATACAGAGACAAATAGCTGTGAATGCTTCTTAAATAACTGTATATGCAACATCTAGTACTGGTACTATTGGTTACGTAGAAATATTTGACGCACCGTTGATTCTGTTGAAGAGGACATCTAATGATATTAATATCAATATAAGTGGGAAGTAAAGAAGGAGGTATATGATGAGATGATTGTTTGAAGAAAAAATAAAGCTGTCACTTAAGGAAAAGTGTAATTCAGTGGAGCTTCCAGTTAGGTTTAAAGAAACAGATTGTAATTCTGTTTTTGAAGAGGATGCAGTTTGAATGAGCTTCACAGCCTTTTAGGTAAGTCTGATATATGGTTGATGGATGTCAGTTTCCCTTCATGCTGTAATTGAGAGGTACGGCATCCACATTGAGAGTGTATATATTGAGAGTTTTTTTTTTTTTTTTAAGTATATATACTTCAAATATATAATGAGGTCCTGTGTTTTTTTTTTACAATATCTAAAAAAAAATATATATTTGAATGATAAATATAAGTAAATTCTGTTTTAATATGTTGTGGACGTCACTCCAAATATAAAATATATGTGGTTTCAACTGTACTGTGGTCAAATGACAATGAGCTTCAGATCTCTGCAACATGCTGATGATTTAGTTAAGTGGGTTATTTTACACAGTGAACACAGTGTAATACACATTTTTCCAACCAGCAAAAATTTGGTTGTATCATAAAAATTCTGAACAATAGCAATTTAATGTCATGCTTTAAGTCGTTTTCACTGTGAAGTACTATATATGCATTAAAAAAAACATTTACTCAGGTTGTGGCTTCTCGTGGCCCACCTGATCATATGAGGCTAAAACGTGAGGGTGTCTTGAGTAGATAGCACTTATCTCTGCAGACCACGCACTTGTTCAGCCAAACCCACATTTCTCCATAAGCCCAGGCAGTAGCACCCTCCAGTGGCACAAGTATAGAAGCCCTCTGTCAGAGTTTTGACCTTACAACACCTTTGACATCACATCATAGAACATGTGTGAAAAGATGCCTCATTTTCAAATGACAAAATATATGTAATACTATAAACACAAAAGTGAAAAAAAAAATCACCTTCACTCAGACAATCAGCTCTCAGCCCATAGAGTCAAATTGTGACTCACAGGTGCAGAAGTTGTGGTCTGATTTGTTCATAACATTTTGTCTATTTGCATGTTAAAGTTATAAGTGAGACACAGAGAAGCCATAAATAGTTTGATAAGGGTTTATTGATGTTCTTGATCCAATGAGGACTGGTTTAGTGGTACTGTCTTCCCAGAGCGGACACAACAACGGCCAGGAACTTCGTCCACGTGGCCTGGACCTGTGGCGTGAAGGCGGAGCCCAACTTTGCAGCCACTGTGATGGTCAAACAGTCGGCCAGCAGCTGCAACAACACAAACCAATAAAAAGTAGCTCATTTCAAAATTATCTGGAAAGCATTGGTGTAGCGCTGGGAGATAATGCTACATCTGTAACTTTGGCCGGTTGGTTCAAATGGAGAAAAAACTAGCTACTATTTATTAAACGTTCCTATAAAAAAACAAAAAAAGATTAAAAATACATATGATTTCCTAAAATGAGAATAGGAGACAATTGTGAGACAAATAATTCCCTCCTATTTTGTAATCCCAATTCAGACAACCCAAAATGCATCATAAAAGGAGTAAAAACACAAGTATTCACGGTGTATTAATAACACAAGAGTGCAGATAAAAGCCTGCAGTTGTATGCACGACTGAATTTTAACCTTGAAGAATGTGTCATTTACAGTAAGGAGAATGAAAATGACACTTTCCTTGGAGTGTGGAGGAGTTTGGAGAATGGAGGAGAGAATAATTAGATCAATGTGAAAAGGGCTTGTCTGTCAATTCAGGATTTTAATTAATTTAATAAGAAGAAATTCTGTCTATCTAAGTAAATAACATTCACTTTAAATACACAGTATCAGGTTTTGAGTTTCGAAAGAGTCAGAAGAGTCAGGAGAGACACATTATGTGAGTTAGAATTAGTTTTAGTTCAGATGAAACATTTTCACATGGATTGAACAAAGGGTGTTGGACTGTGCAACCTCCCAATCTGAGAGCCTGCAGAGGTACCATGGGGAAGGGTGCCATGGGGGGACATTCTGTCCATTCTTTTTTGATGTCAAGATGAAAATAGGTAAATACCTTGAAGTTGTCTGGATCCACGTGCAGCTTCTCAGAGTGCAGCACGCTCAGCTCAGCGTAGGTGGCCTTGATGTTGTCCATGTTCTTGACGGCACGGTCCAGTCCGTGCAGCACCTTCACACCATGGGCTGCCACATTTGGATTGCTCTTGATGGCCTCAGCGTTGTAGAGGTTACCAAAGGTGCCAAAATACCGCAGGGTCCAAGGATACACGATCAGACACCTGTGTAGACATCACTTTTTCAAAAATTTCTTTGCATTAAGAGTCATGAATATTACTTTTGTTCCTATAATAGCTATACCTGCACAGAGCCTTTGGGCCGACATCGTTGTAGTCCAGCGTGGAGAAGATCCCGCTGATGATGCTTCGCTCAGACTCGCTCCACTCAACCATGGTGTCTCTGTTTTGGTTGTGAGTTCCGGCTTTGGTTGTGAGTTCCGGCTTTGGTTGTGAGTTCAGGCTTTGGTAAGGCTGAATAAAAGTGATAAGGCAAAACAGGGCTATTTAAATACCCAGCACCCTCCACCCCATTGGCTGGATGGACAAGCCAAGATAAGTGTGCGAGATCCCTCCAGAACATTCGTCATTATATGATAGATTCAAATGATTACTATGAAAACCATCAAGAGATAAATAATTCAAGACTAAAGTAAACTTATTCTGGAAATTATTAGACCTTTCTGAGTCTCACAATTTGGCTGAGTTGGCAGGATATGACCTTATATTACCTTCTTCAAATTCTAACACTAACACTAATAAACTTTCACATAACTTTACACACAGAAAAACATGATGTGATGATGTTTATATATATATATATATATATATATATATATATATATATATATATATATATATATATATATATATATATATAAAACTATATATATTCAATACTTTGTTATACTCTCAACTTTCAGACTTTCAATTCCCTCTAAAGATTTTCTCTGGGGTTTAAGTCTGGAGACCGGCTTGGCCACTTCAGGACCTTGAAATGCTTCTTGCAAAGCCATTTCTTCCGGGTGACATGATTTTGGGATTGTCCTCTATTGTCTTGGTCGCTTTGTAAAAAAAAAAAAAAAACAGCCCAAAAGTATTTTTCCAACCCTCACTGTATGACAAGTTGAGTTTATACCAAAACATAAAATTTTGGTTTCCTCTGATCATACGACATTCTTCCAATCCTCTTCTAGATCATCCACATGCTACATGTCCAGATGAGCCTGGACATGTACTGGCTTAAGTAGGGGACACACCTGGCATTGCATCCAAAGAACACCATACCTACTGTGAAGCAGTGGGGTGGAAAAATCATGCTTTATGACTGTTTTTCTGTAAAGGGACCAGTACAATCTTATTTTGTGTCTAATAGTTGAGGTATACTAAGCCTGACAATTACAGGTTTTACCCCCACTGTACGTGTGTGTGTTTGTGTGTAATAATTGAAAAGTATATTTTGTCTTGTCAATGTATCTGAATGACCAGAATTAGTGCTTTTGCTGACCACTTTTGGGCAAAATACCAACATGTTATCAATAGGAGCATACCATGTTATCTGAAACAGCCCCTTCTCCACCCATGTCCACTGGAAAATACATGATTAATTATGTTTTTCATTACCATGATATGCCCATCAATATATTATGTAGATTCCAATGAAACTATTTAAAACATTCTTATAATTGACATATGGCCGGATTCACAAGAAAGTTTGAGTTTCAGAAAATTCAGAATTCAGAAATACTTTTTTAATGAAAGAATTTGTATCATACATTCAAAGAGTTATCTTTAACCAAGTATTTTTTCAATCTGCACACCCCAACAACAACCATGTTGTGGATATTACAGGACTATACATTGAATATGGTTGATACCATTGCAGTTTGTCACATATTTTAGCTTGGTGTGGAGTGTGTATGGTGAGCACATGGGCTACAAACACACTACAAATACACAGGTTTGACTGCAACTATTTTTATCAATTAATGTTCAATATATGAATCGATTTCAATCTGATAAATTGAAAATAAAGTAGTAAATATATTTGAAAATATATCGACTCATGGTGAAATTGATTCATTACATTCTATTATTATCTAGAATGTAATCTATTATTATCAATCTATTATTATCAACATCAACATAAACATTTTGGATTATGGAACAACACATAGCAATAGGGGGGTGACAGTAGCTCAATTGGTAGAGGATTGGTCTTTGGACCTAATGGTTGTGGATTTGAGCCCACCACGACCCATATAACCTGCTCCCACTGATGGCTGCTGTCGCTGTGTCCCTGGGCAAGACACTTAACCCCACATTGCTCAAAGCCCCCGCTGAAAGACCAAGATAAAGTAAGATAAGATTGACTTTATTGATCTCACACAGGAGAAATTTACAGGCCATCTTGTCGAGGACGGAGGAGTCATCTTCCCGTGGACCCAAACTTGGGTGGCAGCTCCCCGACCTGCTACCCCCCGACCCAGAAATGTATTAATAAAGGGGTAGACAATGACATGACATAGCAATAGGAAGATAAAAAAGTGAATGTGAACTTTTATTGTTTGGAGGGACATATCTGTGGCCTGACAAGCCAGACCGACAACGTTTTTCAATAATCATTTTCAATAATCAAATGTTTACATTCTGGGGAGAATACATCTATTCTTGCATCATAATTGAACTCAACCCAATTTTGACCTTAACGTGTCCTTTCCTGAACTTATCAAAATACCATTGATCATGATTAACATAACATAATTTAGCTAAACATTCAATGATTATGCATTACATGAAGTATCAACATAATAATGCATGATTGATTGCATTTTGAGAATGTAATTTTAGCCTTTTGGGACTAGTTTAGTCACCCTTCCTATGATATTGGCCATGATATACAAGTGTTTTGTGAGATCATGGCTTAATAACATTTTCTGTGGACTTAAGCTATCTGAGGACCTTTCTTTTCCGACGTGCATAAAACTGCAAGATGATGACGCCAAACATGAAACCTAAAGTAGGCCAATAGTGCAGATAAGACTTGAGGGCGTGGCCAACATGGATCCTAGTGCGTCAATGGACTAAACTTGGCAGACATTTTTGAGGGTGTGAATCAAGCAAATACAAGAAGTTCAGAATTGAGAGCATCCATCCCCCTGAGGTTTAGAAACCAAGACAAGTCTCCTGTTCCATCGAGACCATCGGAGCTGAGGCAGCGAGTGCACCATAGAGTGTAAAGAGTGCACGCTTTGTGTAGCTCTGTTAAAGCTGAGAGATTAATTACTTTTAAAACATTTTTAATACAATTAAATAAAATGCGGGTGCAGATTTTTGATGATTGCAAGGGGGCTTCATTGAGATGTTTTACTTTCTCTTCAATGTTATGGCATTACTTAGCAGTAAATCACTTATAATAATAGTTATTAAACTTTGTATTAAAAACTATCTCACTACTTCCTCACTCTCAGAACAAGTTGGTTCTATCACTTTTCACATGCATTATAGTATTTATGGCCTCTGTCACATCTTTGGATGAGCTTTTTCAGACACAAAATAGAAAAGTGAAAAAGAAAGGCTCACTCAGCCAATCAGCTGTCAGCCCAAAGCATCAAAAAGTGACTCAGCTTTGTTAAGTACATCAAATGTTTTCTATTAAGATGAAGACAGTATGTTGTGATTTGATTTGTTCAAAGCATTTTACTTTTACAAGCCCCTTCCTTTTAAGACAAACATATTGTATTATTTAAGAAGCAAATAAGTTAGATAACCCAGCTACACTTTTGAAATAAATTGTTAATTGATGTATCTGATATTTGTAACTAGCCTATAACAACGACACCATGTCATTTTCCGCTCACCAGCATTTTTAGTTATTCAACTACCCCCAGACAAAGACAAACTTCGGACCTCCCCATCTGCTCAGTAGCATAAAGCACGGTTGTATTATCATTGATGCTGTGATCCAGGCCTGTCAGCTGAGAGAAAAAAAAAATAATAATCCATTAAAAAAATAATGTCTGTGTTTGTGTTATTTATTCATGTTTTTAAAAAAAAACATATACAAACTGTATGTTTGAAAACAAGTGGTGCGGAAATGTTGTATTTACAGAACAGAAAACAAAAACAGTATAATCAGATGAAAGTTGAAATTGGTTGCTGTTATTTCAAAATGACTCTTGTTTTTTCGTCTCCTAGGATGAGCCTGGAAGAGAAAGTGCCTTTTTCATGTTTCATTCTCCTTGTAGTACAGACTTTTACATAACTTTAATATGGAGTCTGGCTTATTACCTGAGTAAGATGGCTGCTAAGATGCCTCCCCCAAAGGGTCCTACCCAGTACACCCAATGGTATTCCCAGTAGTTGGCAATGACGGCCGGTCCGAAAGCTCTGGCTGGGTTCAGACAGGTTCCTGAAATATCACCCCTGCACCAGAAGAAGAAATCATCACTGAAGAAATTTCAAAAGTGATGTTGTTCACGTCATTCAAGGCAGCCCAGAAATCTACACGCTCTAGGGCTGTCAAAATAATTGCGTTAACACGTTTTTCATTAATCGCGTAAAAAAACAAAAAATGCATTGACGCATGTCCGATTGACCCGCCCATGTATCCCATAATATCACTCAGAATGCCACAGACACATGCGCGTGTGAGATGGAAAGAGAGCAGGTAGGCCCTCTGGAAATTAAAGTTTTAAAAGAATATGTGCGTGGCCGCGGGGGACTTGCTGTTGTTTGCTATATTCAGATTCAGATTCAGATTCATTTATTTGCCATTTGCAGTAAAACCACATTGGAAAAACTGTGCAAGACTACCCCGGTGTGCACCCGAACTGAAATCCGCATGCTCCGTGGCACATAACAACAACACGGCAAATGGCGCCGCGGTAACGTGGTCATATCCAAGACCATACACGCACAGAACTACAGTTATGCATGTTGTGTGCATGTCTTTGCGTAACCTGTGCACGCAATAAATACACATATACTGAAGCTGAACTATGGAGTCTCAGGAAGTGTCCGTGTCTTCTCCTGAAATGCAACTAAACATGTTAAATTAAAGCTGGGGTACATACATTTTCCCTTTCATTAACAGCTCATGATGGTTGTGCCCGAAAGTAAAAGGTTTAAGTACATTTGGTATGAATAACAATGTGTCATTACATTTGATAATCTCATTTAACTTCAATTGGAGTGGATTTGAAATAGAATGATAAGAATGTGATTAATCATGAGTTAACTCACCATTATTCGATTAATAATAAACAAAAATGTAATCGTTTGACAGCCCTAATAGGAACTGAAGATTTTTTTCCAAGAAGAATGGGCAGCTTACAATCAGTGAAGTCAGATCAGGCATTTTTATTTGTGTTGTCTGCTGTTTTGCTTTTTTTATGTTTGACAGACTACACCGGAATTTTTTTAATGAAATGTATAAATCAAGTGGATATGCATTTGGGAAAATAGAAAGAACCTCGTCCACAACTACCACAAAAGACCCCTAAGCTGTCAAGAGGAGATTTTGAAGTCGTTATAATTCTAAAATAGAAAACACGTTTATCAAGACCATATTATGGAGCATTCTGTTAAAGCTGGGGTTACTAACTTCATCAATACTTAATGTTGATATCACATGCTGTCATTATCTTGTTAGAAAGCATGTTATCTTTTCCATGCTTGAAAGAAAGAGCAGTTTGACACTTTGGGCTGGGAGCTGATCGGCCTAGTGGGGTGGACCTCTCTTTATCACTTTTCTGTTTGATAAAGCCGATCTTAAGATGTGAGACACAGGCCAAAATTACATGCATGTGAAAACTAGTGATAGAAGCAAACCGTTTTGAGAGCAAGGAACATACTAGTTATATGGATTTTAATATACAGTTTGTTGTGAATATTAGGTACAGCAGCTTTAAAAAGTTTTGTTGGAATCGCCTGCTGGAACGTTACGTATTATGGGAAATACAAGTGATCTGGCCTGGTGTAGGTCACAACGACTCCGATTGTGTATTATTTTGTGTATTTGGATAACTGACCGCTATAATAATGTGAATATTAACCATTTGCCTTATTGCGTTCACAGTTTGAATCATGAGGATGTAGAGTATTTCTATGTCTTAGACTCTGACAGATACACTACGGTACAGAGAGGTTTATAAGATCAAAAATATATGTTTAAGAATACGGCTCGATAAATATGCAAAATAAACGATATTTGTAAATAGGGTTCCAGAACACTCAGTAGAATAGTTTTGGAAACTAGCAGTGAATATTAAAATTTAATTTATATTTCCTAAGATTAAATTGTGAAAATAATGCAGTGAATTATCTGAAGTGCTTCTAAACAATTAACATTAGAATAAAAGTATAAAGTAAGTAAAGTCAAATAAGCTTCTAATCTGAGACTCAGCGCTCGTTTCTGTCTGTTCTTGTGTCCAATGTTGTTTAATGTTTTTTTTTTTAAGCTAAATGTATGATTGCATAATAGTTATGATTTTTTTTTGCAATATAGTATCAGTAAAATACACTGCACTGATATTTATGATTGCATGTTTAACGCTTACATTTTTTGTTGTTGTTGTTGAGAGTTTCATTTTTACACTTTGATGATGGGGGGGTTATGGCAATACTATAATACAAGTGATCTGTCTTTGTGTTGGTCACAACGACTCCGATTGTGTAAAGCTCCAATTTTGTATCCGTTGTTTGAGCTAACTGATGCCTGGGTTTGGCTATTTCTGTTTGTGGATCTATCTGAAAAAAAACTGAAGGAAACTGAATAAACTTCCAGGTTGATTTTCCACAGTATCTAGTTTGCATGTTTATATATAAAACAAAAATAAAAAACACAATTGTTGGAGAAAAGCATGAATAGTGAATAAATGTTTTGTCTAACCCCGCCAGCACGTTGATGATGACAGTGCAGCCCACCAGGAACGGGGCCAGAGGAGTTTGTGTTTTCCGATTCACTGCCACCATTAGAACCACCATAGTGATCAGACAGGTCATGGCCACCTCCCCAAACAGGGCTCCGGACAGCTGACTGTCTGAGGTCAGGATGGCGAAGGCTGCTCCTGTGGCATTGGTATAGTGATCAGCTGGAGTCATCACCTGAAGCAACAATAGTACACGATAAGTTTGTGTAAGCTCTCATCATCTGTGCCTAGCAACACCCGTTAGCAGGTAAGTAAGTAAGTAAGTAATCTTTATTTATAAGTCGCAAAGCGGTTTACAATTGTTATTTTTTGGGCATTTGTCCTCTCACCCCACACAGAGATGGGAGCGGGGTCGCCAGTACAGGAGGCGCATGCACAGTCCTATTGTCCATGTTTTTAGTGGTAGGGGAAACCGGAGCACCCGGAGGAAACCTACACAGAAACTCAACTCAGAAGGTAGCAGTAGTTCCCAACATTTGCATTAGCTATTTGTGGACAGGTTTTTTTTATTTTTATAGATTTACCTACAGATGTATACATACTTCTCACACTGGAGTGTTTTAAACTTTGTTTCTTTATGAGGCTAAAGATGTTATTTTATTTTATTTCAATTATCTAAGTACAGAGTTGTGCTATCCTTAATATGCACTTATCTCGTGTGCTCCTCATTCGTACTGTTCTGCAAGTTGTGAACAAGCCCCAGTGATCCAAGATGGCGCCCTGTTCAAATGAATGGCTTGTGCTCAGTAGCGCATGGGACATCACAGTGACCGTAAGATTAGAATTTAGTCTGCAGTACCACGGGCGCCCCCTGTGCCTCTGGGTGGGACAGCTATACGCTAGTAATACCCTATCCAGTTATTATTATAGATCCATGCTTGTGAAGCAACACTCACATTTCCCTACTGTAGAGCTAATAAAGGATCTCTTAATCTTTATCCTAATAGATGCTTTTGGTTAAATGTTTAGAACTAAATAAATATATAAATGGTTGTTTCCAAGTAACAAGTTAAGTTCAGTTTAGCTGTTGTTAACCTCATACCCATGGTGCATTCTAGTGATTTTTTGATAGGGTCATAAGTTACATTTTGTTTGATAGTTTGTTTGACAAATAATCACTACAATTATGTACAGCCGGAAGAAACCCTATGCAGCCACTGGGAGAACATTCAAACTCCACCCAAAAAGGCCCTGTCCTGAGATGGAATAGAACCTTGCTGAGAACCACAAGCGCTAACTACTGCGCTACTGTGCAAAATATTGAATACTTACACGCAACAGATAGAAAACAATATTTTTGTGTGAGTCACTATTTGAGTTTTGAGCTAATTGGTTGAGTGAGGATGGTCATTTTCACTTACAACACAAGAAGCGACCTACTGGAATTGGTTGATTGACTCTCACTCAGCCCAAAGCATCAAATAGTGACTCACAAGCCTCTTTCTTACAAGTATGCACAAGATAAAACAAATTCTAGTAGGAAGATTGGTCTGATTTACTCTTTATGTGTGGGAGGATTAGTTAGGTTCCGAAGCTTTAAACTTGAATCAGACTGACCTTTGCCATCCCTGCGCCGAGCACCCCTCCGATCAGCTGGCTCACCAGGTAGGGCCCCACCATCATGAGCTCCAGGCCCCCGCACAGGTAGATGGCAATGGTGAACGGGGGGTTGAAATGGGACCCACTATAGGAGAGGACAGCTTTTGCATCAATATAAAGACATTTGACAAATTATCCATGTTCAATTTCTCTGATCAACATTGAGATGGTATTTTCAATATGTTTGAAAAGTAAGCATGCACATCCCAAACTGAAAAAGAAAACACAATAAGTTTTTTTTTTGTGCTTGAACACAGATTTCTTCAATAATAAATTTCAAAAATGTTAAAACACTAGTGAAGAACAGTTTGAATTAAGTCATTTCACTTTACAGCTTTCTTATTTAGAATATTGTCAAAAAAGAAAATCCGAAAGAATGGCTGTAAGATATATTATTATTCATTCAGTCATTCTACCCCTTATTAGTCCATTTCTGGGTCGGGGGGGGGGATCCCAGTCCCTCTGATCCTCTGCAGGGGGTGAGTCCACAGGAGGATATATACATATATATATACATGTATACATTATATATATATATATATATATATATATATATATATATATATATATATATATATATATATATATATATATATATATATATAATATATATTAGTGCTGTCCAACGATTAAAATATTTAATCGCGATTAATCGCATGAATTTCATAGTTAACTCGCGATTAATCGCAAATTAGTCACACATTTGCGTGCTGTGTGCAATTGCTTTTTTTATTGAAAACAATGTGTAGTGTTATATTACACACTAACATTTGATGCAAAATCATCAATAAATGGATGACAAAATAAATAATTGGTAACAAAAAGCCCCTTCAATGTGTGTGTGTGGGTGTGTGTGTGTATGTGTGGGTATAGACCATAGACTGTATAGAAACATCATGGTGTCATTATGATGATGATAAACAATCTGTAAATATTTTGTAAATTTGTTAATGTAAATACTCTATGCTGTTTCTCTGTTTACCTTTGGTATATCTATGACTGTATACTGTTTGCTTGTATTGCCTTTTTTATTAACCCCTCCCCCCATCTCCCACTTCATGTCCCCCCCCCCCCCCCCCCCTCCTATGTGCCCTTCTGGGTTTCTTCTTTGGCCCCCTGTATCTCCAACTACATATTGTTTGTAATCTCTGTCTACAATGTATCTGAACTAGTCCTTTTCTTTGTTTCTATGTGTTTGTCTGAAATAAAAAGTAAAAAAAAAATAAAAAAAAAAAAAAAAAAAAAACACTTTTTTTTTTTTTTTTTTTTTATCGCGCGATAAAAAAAATGACGGCGTTAATATTGATTTGCGTTAACGCGTTAATAACGCGCTATTTTGGACAGCCCTAATATTATATATATATATATATATATATATATATATATATATATATATATATATAAACATAGATTTTCCAGTGAAATTAAATAGATTTCCAACCAAATGTCACTCTTTTGTAATGTGATTGTCCATTATAATTAAAGCATCTCATTCAAATCTCTGCTCACCTGATATTATCCATCACTGCTACCAAAACTGCTACTGCCAGCCCATGCACCAAAGCGGGCTGTAGTCTCCCAGCCTCCGGAGCGTTCTCAATCACAGACACACAGCCCACGAAAACAAAAAACATAGTTCCAATCAGCTCTGCCAAACACGGCTGGAACACTCTTTCATATTTGGATTTTGGAGGTGGCTTTTTCTTTCCTGTTAACGTATCGGCCTCCAGTTCCATTTTTTCCACTCCCATGTTGCTGCTGTCCTGTGTTCTCTTCTGAGTATGAGAGCTGACTGCTACACAGAGAAGATAATTTATACATTTATACAACTCAAGGAGCGACCTACTGGAATTGCGTAAAGTGGTCGTAAAGATACGGCCCAGAGGAAAGCTAGTCTCACAGTGAGATAATCCAGCCTTTGTTGTGGTCTATTGGGGTGCAGGAGTCAAGGCTGGGATGTCAATGGATTTGCATCAACATTATAAAGGGTTTAAGAAGGATTTAAGTTCATTTTTCATAGTTTTGAGGTTGTTCTGCTGAGACATGCAGATAACCTATAAAGATAAGGAAAGTAATCAGCATAAAGACCGTAATTAGTATACTATTATATATGGGCTATTAAGTTGGTTAGTTTTTTTGTGGCTGTGATTAGATAATGCGACCAGTTGTTTGGATCACAAAGGGTCAGTAAATATAAGATTTTAAAATAGATTTGACAAATAAAAAGTTACAATGACACAACTTGCTTTTTACAAATGAGTTATACATGATTAGCATTAAAGTTTCCTCCTGCATTAGTTATAGATCTGTTTGGAGTCATAAAACTTCTCAGCACACAACAGCGTTCAACAACAATTATTCGATTACTAGAATTGTACTTTTTTTTTTATAATTGATTACAATTCATTTATTAACTTGTTAACTCCTCAGTATCTCAAGAATGGGCTACCTTTTGTCACTAGTCAAGTTAATCAACACAAATATTTTTCAAAATAAAAACAAAAACATTTGAAACATACATAAAATGTTTATTAAAATTACAATAATGATAATAATAATAATAATAATAATATGTGATCCCAACACATCGGATCGGTGCAGCGTACGCAGTCGCTGTATCGGACCGTTGTGGTGAAGAGGGAGCTGAGCCGAAAGGTCATGAGTAATGACCGAAAGAACGAGATCGCTGATAAGCGGTCGAAATGAGCTTCCTCCGCAGAGTGGCTGGGCGCTCCCTTAGAGATAGGGTGAGGAGTTCAGTCACACGGGAGGAGCTCGCAGTAGAGCCGCTGCTTCTCCACATTGAGAGGAACCAGTTGAGGTGGCTCGGGCATCTGTTCAGGATGCCTCCTGGACGCCTCCCTGGGAACGCCTTGGGGTCCCCCCGGATGAACTGGAGGAAGTGTGTGTGGATAGGGAAGTCTGCGCGTCTCTGCTTAGACTGCTGCCCCCGCGACCCGGCAACGGATGAAGCGGAAGAAAATGGATGGATGGATGGACATTTTAACGCTATATTAAGGGCCATAAAACAAGGAATTGATCATGTTTGTCAGTTCTGTTGGTGCACATTATGGAGCAGGCATGATGGGAGAATCAGAAAGGTCAGGTGAGCAGCAGGGCAGAGGTTTATGCTTCTAATCTGGTTTATTGTCGTATGATTAGTGTCCCTGCACTTACAGCATCTTTAAAGTAATAAAATCTTTTCATTCTGGGACTTTGATCCAAACACTGTCCATAACTCAACTACTGTCAAAAGCCCACGTCCTAAAAATTAAATACATTTGATTAATCAAATTGTTTAAGTCGCATTTATGGGAAACGATGCATCTTCCAACCACAAGTTAAAGCAACAACTGTGGATAATTCAACTGAATAAAAGTCATACAAGTGATGCTTGTGATCACTTGATTATGATTAAGATTCAAATACAAGACTACTGATGATCAAGTGTGACGATGCTAACGTTAGCCGCTAGCGCTAATCTACATGGATTTAACGTTATTCTTGGGTTTCATATGACATCAGGGCAGTGGCGCAAATAACAAACGTAAGACAGGACGTAACGTATCCTGGCGGTGCAGTCTGCCGGGTTTATACACGGAGATATAGTAGAAGAAGAAGCGCTGTCAAAATGCCATCTTTTTGTGCGGTGTACTGTACGCTTGTAGCAATCGTACAAATAGAGAGAAAGACAAGAGTTTCTTCCGTGTTCCAACTGTGGTCTCATATAAAGGCGTACACTTTGAAAAATCACTCGAATGAGGCGGGCGAGGTGGATCAAGGCTTTCCCAGATGAGCGCCCCCTGCAGGCCACCCAAATCAAACGCAGCAATTTCTTCAGTTTTTCTTTCCAAAAATGCCCGAAATCAAGACTATTGAGACATTTTTTTAGTAGTCCCTTAGAATTGAGTGTCCCCCTCCCGATTAAGACTATTACAACAACATATTTGCACATTTCTTTCTTTTTGCACAATCTTGAGTGTTTTGCATGCTAGATGTGACATGTACATTTCTCCTTTGTGAGATTAATAGTATATCTTATCTTATCTTAACCGTACACCGCACAGGATGAGAGCCTTTGACTCCAAAACAGACACGATTTACATGGTTTTCAATGGGAGCAAAACTGAATTGTCCCATACAGTCTATGGTTTTCATCTCCCAAACGGTCGTCGCCTTTTCAGAAGAGTCGAGGCACGTTCCTACATTTCCGGCAAACGCGCAAACTCAGACCTTGGATTTTTCCGAACACCCGAGCTGTCAAAACGTTAAAACTTAGAACTGTGTGTAATGATATATATCGTTGAACAAAGAAGCTAACCCTGACATGGCCGAAGGAAGAACAGGAGTTTATAATGCAGCTTTTTTGCGAGGGAGAGGCAGTCCATCAACCCGTCAAGAAGCCAACCAGATGGAATAGTTTCTTCCGCTCAGTTGCGGTGAGTTTAATAGTAATTCAGAATAATTTTCATTAGTTTAGTTTAGTTTAAAGTGTCAAGACAATGAACAATAAACATTAACCTCAAACGGAAAGATGCATTGTACCAGGTCATATATCAAGAGCTCATTTCCACCCGTAGTCCCTGGTCTGATAAGTCTCTCATCATGGTTTTATTGTTTTACTGGTGTGTGTGTGTGTGTGTGTGTGTGTGTGTGTGTGTGTGTGTGTGTGTGTGTGTGTGTGTGTGTGTGTGTGTGTGTGAGTGTTCATGAGTGCGTGTGTGTGTTTGTCTGTGGTTTGGGGTGGGTCTGTTGGGTGGTCTGGGGGAGGGGTCTTGGGTCGGCGGGATTGTTTTTAACCAAACTGTAAAGCACTTTGTGTTGCATCTTTTGTATGAAAAGCGCTTTATAAATAAAATTTGATTGATTGATTGATTGATAATACTAATATTACATAAAAATAATTAGCCAAACTACATCCAAGATCAAGTATTCTCAGGGACATTTTGCCCTAAATAATTTTCAATGCTACATATTCAACATCATTATATGTTATTATTATTCCTTTGTTATGTTCTACAACCAAATGGCAAGAATGAGCTTGGAGAGGGTGTTAGCAATGGACAAGCTTCCACAGTAGTCGGGAAAATGTGGAAAAGGTTGCCTGGGGACAGACGAAAGGTTTGTATATATAGTTCTCATATCTAAGGGTTGATTTGTTTTGTCTGTATTCTGTATTCTGCCCTTGCTTATTCTGAGGGTTTATCTGGCTTAGATCTAAGATCAGTGCAAACACTTTTATTATCCCCTATTAAAGTTTAAACATTGTGAGAAATAGACCGCACCCCCAGCCTTCAACATATTAACATAACCTATGATGTCCATACTTCTCCCTCATAGGGCTGGGCAATTATAGAACAGCTAACAACAGATGACACAAACACAGGATGGACAGAGAAGAAAAAGTGTGCCAACTGCAACAAAAGTTACTCCAGAGAAAAGGACCTGAAATATCACCAGAAAATCTGCTATGAATGCATTTGCAGTGAATGTAACAAAAGTTTCACTCACAAGTTAAAGCTTAAAAGGCATGTAGCCAAGTATGACAGAGAACTATTTAAGTGTAATCAATGCAAAAAGACATTCTCTGAGAAAATAAATCTTCCCAGACACCAAAATAGGTCATGCACACATCAAGTAAGGGAATGAATAATAAAATGTATTTAAAAGATAATACATTGTAGTTAACAGTCAAATTGAGTAAATAGTAATAACAATAGCAGAGGGTAAAGTGAGTCTTCACTACGGGTGAGTGGCACATGTACATGTTTTTATTAGCATTACTCTGGAAGGTTTACTTTTTTAAGTATAGCCGGAACTGCATTGGAACTCCAGGTTTGAGGCAGGACAACCCTGGGTTGGAGTCGACAGGAGAACTACAGTTTTTTCCTGATGAAATTGCAACAAAGGCAAGTTCTAAACACTAAATTATGTCCAAAAGTAATCCAGGAAGTAGTGTGAAGTTCACATGAACACATTAATTTAGGATAACGCAGAGTTATGCCTTTAGTCAAGGACTTTTACAGAGCTCGAATGAATGGGGTTTCATTCAAAAGGGTAACGCAGAGTTACGCCTGTATAATGAATGTGTTAGAATTGAATTACTTCAGACTGAACTTCTACATTACTTCTAAACTGAAATTGGACATTTATAGACATCTAAATAAGCTAAATTTAAATTGGATGTTTAAAGACCTTTAAATTACTCAAAATTTGGATTGGACATTGCAAAAAGTAGATAGACCACCATTTTGGGTGGCCATGTGGTCCTTTGTCCTCTGTCCATGTGTTTTCTTTGTTTGTCTTCGTCCTTCTTTGTCTCGTGTGTTCTTCCTTTGTCCATGTGTTTTATGTGTTTTAAGTGTTTGTCTGTTTAAGCTCAAACTAAACTGACAAAACAAACTCACTAACTAGAACAAAATTTAGAGAGAGAGAGAGAGAGAGATAGGAGTTAGTTTTTCAGCTGGGGAAGAGAAAGTTGAATAAGAGGGAAAAAATACATTGGGAAGAGATTTTACAAGAACGAGTTGAGTATGTGTGAAGAAAGTCTAAAAAATTAGCAAGAATTATAGAAAAGTTTAACACCAGGTTTAGAATACTTGTTTTAAAAGTCATTGTGAAACTTTGAAACTGTTTTCTTGGTTTAGAATTACCCTTCACCTTATGTTTTGATTCTGAAATGTATTAACAAATGTGCTTCTTGTTTTTGAGAAAAATGCCACATCCCTGCCAAAGCTTCAAAGCAACAAAA